TTGCTGTGAAAATGGCAATGATATCTGCCAGTAATTTAAAGGTCACCCAAAGTTCAATAAGAAATAATGGATTTCAGAGGCGACTTCAGAACTGATAAATGCTTGAAACTTGAGCATGTATGGCTCTGAACATGAGGAGAAGTGAAAATGATTTCAACATAAGCTGATGGAAAGCCTAAGAGGTAAGTGTGAATAGTGAAAGCAGGTGGAATGTGGAAAACAGCGACAAAAATTAGCAGCAGACAACTGTTTAGGCTTATCGGGGAAACGAATATTTAAAACCCAGCTAGTAGTGAGATTATTTCGGAAAAAGATAGAGCTGTCACTCATCCTTATTCCAGAGGATCTGGACGATGTGCATAATACTGTAAGGAACAGTCAAACTGACCTTCAGCTACACCTCATTTGCCCACTATCTGCAGCCAACCTGAATGTCAAATTGATATATGTTTTACGATTCTCACTGACGTTGGATAGGCTTTGAGCAGTATAAACGAAGTGAAAGCAGAAGAGCCTGATAGACTAAACCCCAATAACTTCAAGAATGTTAATTACATCTTAACAGTTAGATCCCCGGAGTATTAGCAGGAATCTGAAAATTTGCTACTCGTCCATATGGCTAGTCTTGATCTCTGGCGAACTCACTTCGTAAGAAAAACAAAAAAAGACTTTGACTAACAGTGTCTAAAATACTGGGCTCAATATGAATTCAACGCGCAGCCAGAGGCCATGAAGAACAAACCTGAGAAACCTGTCTTTTTTCAAGACTGGACGTGGACGGCGTCCCACCCTTTAACCCTGAGTTTCTCTTCCAGTGTCTTTTACTGAAGGGCATACCAAAGAACAATATGAAGCTTGTATAAACTCTCTACTTGAACACTACTACTTGAGTCACAGCTTATGGCAATCTGTCACCCAAGTGAAGCACATCAAATGGTATTCGTCAAGATTATCCACCTTGCCCACTCGTATTTGATTTTATCATATACTTGCTTTCAGAGGTAACACTTTCACAGCCTGATATCTTAGGAAGTCGGCTTATCAGGACATTTACTCGTTGACTTCGAATACTCACTCAACTCTCGTCCAAAATCCAAAATGTTTCTTCAGATTTGACTAGCGTCGTCGTCCAAAAAAATGATAGTCAGTGAAGTAGTCGAACCTACCAACCACTACAATTATCCTGAGAGTCTCATCAGTCCTGATGGACTGGTGCTTGACAAAGTCTCTGCAACATTTCAGAAGGCTCGGTTGGCTTTTACCGACTTGCGCCACTTGTGATGTTGGCTAGATATCGACCTGCCTATCAGATTCCAAGTTTGCTGTGTTCTCCCTTAGCAAATCTACTACAATCAGTTTTAGTTATGGTCAAATTTTGTCAAGCCCTTATATTAACTTACATAAAAGACAAGGTTGTTCAAACAGTAACGATTCGTGAATTTTTTTACTATTATGATTATTACGGTGTCTGTATATATGTGTACTCCTGTTCATATGACAGCTTACGATCATATCTCCCACTGGCTAAATGCTAATCGCATAAATATCGTTCAATGAATCATTCTCTTCGCTGTGCACATATGTATTCGAATCCTATTATTATCCTTGGCATTGCGTTGCTGTGCCTTATTCGATTTGACTACAAATTTGCCTCTGTATTTGCTACCATACAGGCATTCGCCAATCTGCTTCAAATTCGCTCGATGCGCTTGTATCTTTGTTATTCGTGCTATCCGCTAGTAAACTGTAGTCGCCACTTCTTATTTCATTCTGGTTTCAATCGCCATTGGAATTTATATGATAACAGTTACAAAGGTGATTGATTACCAAAACAAATCCATCACACTCCTTTATGGGTATGAAACATGACCATTAAGAATGATGGATATTTGTTGGTCACTGGTATTCGATCATACATGTCGTCAAGGCACTGCTCGTGTATTTTTGGACCACAGAATGAGCAAAACATAGGTTAGGATTAGCATACTAACTAAGAATGGCAAACCGATTGATGAGTTAGTACTTTTCATTAAATGAGATGAATGTAATATGTGTTACGTATGTCCAGCCGCCGTCTATCTTTGCAGATGGTTTTGTTGGATGTACGCTAGGCTGTAAGAAAGCTAGGGATGGCCGAAACAAAACGTAGCATCAGTTCATGAAGTCGTGGACAATGGAATTGAGCAATGGTAATAGGTGTAGGCTGCCCAGTTCGGTTTCACCTGGCCATCATAACCGATGATAAGAGACTTCGAATGATGTGACTAAATATCGTTTGCGAGGTCACAGTTACATCGATTCTTTATCTTCGTCAAAATTCTAAGCCTCTGATTACCCTAAAACATCTCGCAGCGTTTCCATTTACTTATTTTTATTTTCCTGAATAAAATTTTCAATGCTTAAACTTTCCTTTTACCACTGACGCTATTACTACCTATACTATAACGTAATTGGACCTGACAATTTGATCTCTTCATGTTATGAAGTATGCCAACTTGAACCGATATACACACGTACCAGGTTCTACGTTGCGATTGACCAACTGATCATAAATATCTAGTTGAAATGTAAAAGTAAATTATTGTTCAAGGTGCATGACATGACTATAGGCAGCCATTTGGTCATATATTCTTTAGAAACTTAGGAAGAACACAATTAACTCCTATTATCCGTGAAATCATGCTCTTTGGAAGATACCTTCATTTTCAAAAGAAAATCTAGATAACGTGTATGATACAATTAATTACTGTCTGTGAGAAAACGGATATTCTCAGTGATTTCTAAAGAAACATACTACTGAATATGGAGATAAGTCGATAGTTTATAAACCTGAAAATAAGTAAATTTTTGTTTGATTTTTATTCAAGATTGATCAAACAATAAGTACAACTAATTAAAGGTTAAACGTAACTTTTTAAAGTACATTCTCCTCTATGAAATCGATTCTACAATACGCAATATGATACTCAATAATACAGACAAAATCCGATAAGTATTCATTGTATATCACCTCTAATTGCATATATATCTGTTTAAATAAATATCCACATTAAAATGGAATCCAACTTGTCTCAATGAGCACATTCTATATAATCTACAATGAAATATAATTGATAAATCGTCTTCTACACATTGTCATTCATAAATGGTGGTTGGAGGTAGTCCAGAGGAAACCCTGTGGACTACCTCCAACCACCATTTAAATCTCAATATATATCTGCACTAATAAGGACTAGACACGCATGACATTGATCACCACACAGTGATCGATCAATTGTGATTGTCATTCTTAAATAAAACCGATTGTATTATATATGCATCGATTGAAGTTAACATTATCTCATCTAACCATAAAGGAAGAACGGATTTGTAGAACAAGCAATAGAAAAAAACAATAAGATTAACGAAATTGTGAATCTAAATAGGTGAATATACATGTGTTATAGTTATAACTGCTATTCGGTACATTTAAAAACACTCTATTTCAGGTGATATATGTACAGGTAAACAAGTATGAAGACATTGAATTGATCAATTGAAGTAGTTCGCTTACCATAAGATCAAATGATCATTGAAGTCTATTACTTGTCCATATCATTCTAAAAACTGGTCTTCATTTGGTGTTAAACATTTTCAGCTCAGTCTAGTTTTACTGTTCGTTGAAAATCTCCGGCTTATCATTTTTGAATGTTTTTACAGAGCACTAAACTTCATACCGTATTCCCTCATGATAAATCTCCTTTCACGATTGACTAAATTTTTAGCTAACTCCTCTTCATACGCGTCCTCAACATTGTGATAATTAAACTCCGCTCAAACAAGCAAATGTTTATAAACATCCGATTTATGTCTAGGTCATGGAATGTGCTACATAATCAGTGATTATCTTCCATCAATCGTCTTGCACAGTGACTGATTTTGATAACGCCTTATTATACCTATCTTCGTGGTGATATTCGAAGACACCAGTTTGGAAAGTGATAATCATTGTGCTTAAAGTTGATGGATGCTGAAAGTAAACAGTTTTGTGACTACAGTTGAATCAGCCAATCACCAACATCTGTTCATTGATTTGACAGGGCAAAAGCATAACTGATGTTTCCTAACCCATTTGTGTGTTCGAGTCATCTGTAATATTTACAACATCTGCGTGAATAGTTATGTAAAAGAGATCTGAAACTCTTCAGTATAATCCATTGTTTATTTCATAAGAGTCGGTATTAATGAGAGCCAATGGAGAGATTACAATGAGGAAATACCATGAACTCCAAAAATTCTCATTCACTGATTTTCCTTCTAATCAAGCAACAGACAAAACTGTTGATTAAAGTCTATTCTAGGATCATCTATCCTATGTTGAATGGTGATACGTTCCAGTTGTCAATACCACATAAAGATATTTCATGAACGATATAAGAAATATGATAAGAAATTGTAAAGGATTGACATATCTTCTAATTTCCATTCAAGGATTGTCGTAATCGGAGGCTTGTGTTACTGCTAGCTATTGTCCATTGCTTCCCTTATTAAGTGTAATTTCATTGTGAGGACTTACTATGTTATCGGCTCATATTTTCCTTTGTTCTCCTATTTTCTAGCTCTCCTCGCTCACACTATTCTACGCACTTCTCTATAACACAAAGCACTTCCTGGTTAGACGAGAAACGCTACATCCGTAAGTTCCTGTAGATCTTTACGAGTAACCAAACGATCTGATCACAAACAGAGGGATTATTATGCACTAAGAAAATAAAGTTAACACACATATTGAACAGTGACACCGAGATCTCGGAACGTGAATCCTGAATGCCAACCCTAACCACCGGAAACCTTAATAAAATATGTTTATCTATAGAGATCATTCTTATCTCCTCTTATCTACGTGATACAGCTCAAGTAAACAACACAATAACTAAATAAAAAATTATATTTGGTGAAAAATATTTGAAATGAACTGAAAAGATAAATAATGTACATAGCTGAATCAAAATTCCACTTCATTACAACAAACTTCCACTTGGTAGATTACGGACTAGAAGATTAAACTCAAGCAGACCAGGAAAGTACCAATAGTTTCCTGTAACACATTGACTAAATATCATTATATAATCATTTATCTTGTCATCACTATCACCAGTCATTCGATCCAGCATGAAATCGAAATTCTTTGTATCTGCTGCGTATGCTATGAATAAGAGACCAGCACCTCCAGATAAAGTTCCAAATGGTTGAGATTGTCGAACAATCTTATATTTCTTACTAGCTTCAAACTTGTCAGCTGTCAGCATGAGATGAAAACAACAGTTATTGACAATTGTAATGAAACGTCAAAACAGAGTTTACTCTATTCAACACACGAGATGTGAATACCAAATAATCAAATAATATGTCTTCAATATACGAATACAAATTCAAATAGACGAAAACGAGGTCTCTCAGAAATAGAGTCAGTGAGGAAACCACTCATAAACCCGTGAGAATCCTCAACATATGTCACATTCAAGTGTGGAAGTGAATGCTAACTAATCTAACATTGGGAAAGATCAGTAGGAATCCAGTTTAAGGTAACCTAGATTTGTGAAAAGCAAACGGATTTCTATATACTTCATTCAAGAATGGTACATTTCTGAAATCTCCATACATGTGTGATATGTCAACGAATTATTCATTTGGTTTCAGAAATGTGGACGGCTGAATAAAAAGCACTGGCCAAATCCAAGAGTTAAATGACCTTCAATCCACTCGCTCCCTGGCCGAGTAGTGTATAAGAATTTCTAATGAACTTCATATGTAGATGAGACATCTCTCAATGGCAATCTGAACCTTAACTATAGGTACATCTTCACTGAACATCTAAAGAAATTCTGTAAAATGTTTTATGAAGTAATGAAATACTCTAAAGAATATTCACATAGAAACGTAATATAAACATGATACAGTTATCGCTTACATCCAACCATTCTGGCAACATGTGATGTATTCGGTTTTCTTATCAACTCCAAGCTGTCTTTCAGAGTTCGACCAATCCATTTTTCTTTTGTCTCATCTACAAAACAAAATATGTGACAATAGACTCTCAAGACAATTGTCATGATCATGCTTCCTTGAATATTACTTGGAGAGTGAATACACTCGAATGATTCTACTTCGTACATCCATAAAACGTTAAAAATTCACTGTTCTGCCGATTTACAAGTGTTAATGAATCACAGTTTGGCATTGTTTTAGCGCCTTAATTATGAGTCTTGTTTCAGTACCATCTACAATATACACAATCAAGAAGTCACGTTTATCTAGAATACAATCACAAATAAAAAAATGGACATGGAGGTTGAAAACATCGAAATTTACAAAACATGTCATTAATCATCGTATTTGAGTGTTGTGTTGTACATTGACTTTTTCAGACATCAGCGAACGGACTGAATAGTCATGTTGCATTACAGGCACAAATAAGAGTTACACAGCCAACTACACGGATGAGATTATCCTTGTCATGTAAACCAACTAAAATTGGAATCAGCAACCAGAACACATCGTTACGCAATAGTCACTGATCTATTCGTACATTTGGTATAGCTGTTTATACACATATGACTGCTTAATTAGATAACCAACCGGCGTTAATGAATCATGCATAGAATGCCATAATTACATATAAATGAATAGTAAACATTTGCAATGGTTGCTTAAGAGAGGAAGTGTTTGTTTAGAACTACACATTTCATCACTACTCCAGATCACTAAACACAGATTTCATGACCAATTAAATAAAGGAGTTATCTATCGAGTGACAATAATTTTATTCACAGTATTTACATCACAAAGCTACCAATGATTATTCACGAATACTGGTCTCAGTTGACTTCTTCGTTAAAATGTATATAGAATCTAGAGGCAACTAATGCTTTCTATGGGGATCTAAACTGAATTATCAATCAACACAATTAACTGGATATAGAATGACAATAGTTAATCTAAGCCGATCAGCCATAAAGAAAAACAAACGTAGACAGGATGGCACATTCAACGTAAACTCAAAACAGCAATTCCAATTGATCAACCATAGATGATTACTATTCGGTCAAAAGGATATCTCTTACCAGCTGTCTCCTGGAGCAAGCTCATATTGTGAACCCACTTCTGAACAACGGCGTAACTTCCACCTGTTCGTTTGTTGATCGCCATCTCTGCTCGTTCATCCAAACACTTAGGGTTCTCCGTGCCTCATTACAAAATAGAATACATAATATAAATGTTAAGATTATGTTGTTGCACCAAGCAACTAGTCTAAATTAAGTAGGCAAATTTGATTTTTTCAACTACGATCAACTCAAAGAAATACATAAGCTCATAACAAACGAAGATCCATTCGATTGATTCTCAAAACAAGATTCATCAACACCATAGGTATGACATTCAGTCAATTTACTTCTAATGAAGAGAACCGTTCAATTTTTTTCATTTATGAGGAAGATACTGAAAACCATTAGGGTTTGGTAGATTTATGGCTATCTGACTGAGAAGGTTCCGAACAGAACACAAATTCAAGAGAGAAGTAATACTTGAGTGCTCTTAATGACCTAAAAAGTAGACCCAATTGTTAAACACTCTGCAATTTATAACAACCTTTTGATGAAGATAAATGACTACATTACCTATACAAGCAACGGATTCTGTACTCAGCTCAAAGTTAAACATCTTTACTTACACAAGTACAACACAAATCATTCACTGACATGGAACTAAGATAAACATACCATCAACGAATTCACTCAAATCACGCCCATCGCGATAAGTCCAACCGTAAATATCTTCAAATTTATCCACACATCCACGCGGCATATTTTGAATGATGGATTTTGCCAGATCAAACAACATGCCATGATCATTACATTTTGCATGAACAAATATATCACCACCTACAACATTAATAAAAGTTGTTCCACGGTGAAAGTTAAAAGTATCCGAAAGCCATGTAAATTACTTACAAAACCCTACACGATTAAATTGAAGAATATTTTACTCACTTAAATTGTGACAATAAATCCTGAAGACTTGCAAATAAGTATAATTCAACTTACCAGTTTTAGGTAGTTCACCATACTTTCCAGATCTTTCACGATATTCATAGTTTTTGATGCCCCTGAAACGGAAACGAGGACTGATCTTTCTGAAATAGTCGATTCCGAAACCAACACCGTATAGAATCTCATTATATTTTTCACACATGTTACGCGGACAAATCTGACTTATATATTTCTACAATGAATGAATAAAGCATACACAGCATGTTGATTAAGCACTTTATTGAATCAAAATTGACCACGAAGCTTGAAATATGTTCAGTAGAATTTAAGCGTCCAAACGATTATTGTGTACAAATATCTTTATGAATTTTTCCGACAGGTTTAGAATAAGCCTAGCACAACAAAGTCGGTTATTCTCAATTACCATCCTTTACAGCCTAACTCTATGATCTTCAAATCATGTTCAAACGAACGAACAAGTTTATTACGTTACATCATTAGCTTCAACGATGATAATTTAGGTCTCGAAAGGAAACGCGTTTGGTGCAATATAAGTAATATAATGACAGTGCGGTATCAAACAGAGACACTAACAAGGTTAACATTCAATCTCCATTTACTTTATGCAGATTTTACTTTGTTTCGTTTCATATTATTTACGTCAGCGAGATAACACAAGTTTCCAATGCATTTGTGATCGATTCCAGGTCACGTCGACTGCAAAACGGCGGAAGTACGTTCTTTGATGACTTACGCTTTCAACATCACTTGCATCACACAGAGTATCCAAGGCGGGGATGAATCAGGCATGTGATCATCACAATTCCCTTCATTTCATTTTATAATACATATGCCTTAGTTGTTAACTGACCACTACGTTACACGTTTACCATATTATACGATATTTTAACTCCACCCTTTTCCTGTCAGCATGATGTGCTCATGTCTCAAATCAAGCGGGAATCGGTAACAGGACATAGTTGAAAACCATAGCAAATAATTTCTATCTACATATAGAAACACAATCGCCTGCACACAATCTTTGCATGAAATTAAAAGATTCAAAATTATATAAAATACCTCGATTTTTCCAACGGATCCCAAACATTCTCGCGATGCGTTGGAATTCAAGTGGATTGTCAGATATAAAGCATGAGATTTAGTATCACTAACAACCTGACAAAATAAAGCGTTTAGGAAACGTGAACGTTTACTGATTGTTGAGGGACAGTGTGAAGGGGATTTGCTGTCACAAAGTTTGATTTCGCGTTTGGACAAATTAAATTGAAATTGCAACTGATTAGTAAGCACAAGAAGCATACAAATTTCCTTATGCAACGGCACATACACATACTGATGACTTCCCAGCACTTCGGAAAGACCTACAGTAGAACATAACACCACTTTTCTTAGACAACATACCCCAAGTAATAACTAGTGTTAACTGCATGACCCTGACGTTCAAATTAGTTGAAATACTATCGATCGACCTTCAACATTTTAAACTCTTATTCAATAATCAATGCCTTGATGGCCAGTTGGCATGAACCAGATAATTCAATTAATTGCTGGAGCAATATGAATGAATAGAAATGCAAATTTAACAACCATGTGAGACGGAGAAGTGATAAATAGATAGAAACATTCTGAATATAATAATAGGGAAAAAAGGTATTAAGCAGTCATCTGTCGCATTTTCTATGATTGACCTTGAAAAGCACTGTCCAATGCTGTCAGATCATTGACAACGACGGAACAAAGCTATGGCCAAATTGAGAAACTAACTTTATCATTTATCCTTTCAGTAAAAGGTGTGGTCAGAATTTCACCCTAATAACAGACTATAAGAACTCCGCCTGTAGCTCTTCTAAAGTTACTGCCGTCCCAAGCCCAGGTAAAGGAGGAGGATTGAAGATAAGGTTAGCGTCCCCATCCCGTAGAAAACTAACTCGGTGAAAAACGCTAACCAGAAAAAATAATTCAAGCCATTTAAACTCTGCCCTGGGAGGTAGAAGGTCTTCATTTAGAAGAATTATTACGCTTCATGATGAAACCCGAGTTCCTTCGGAAGCCACGAGGCCAATGCCCCTTCTAACAACCAGAGCAAAAATTTTTATAGGTACATGGAACGCCGGACAATGTGGGATACCGGAAAGACCAGTCAAATAGCAACGGAAATGAGGAGAGACAACTTAGCAGTACTGGAAATCAGCGAAACCCACTGGACCCAAGCTAGACAGAAAAGGCTAGATACGAGAGATATGCTGCTATACTCCGTTCATGAAGAGGAAAACGCTCCACACACTCGGGGAGTTGCTATAGTGCTGTTCAAAGTAGCACGAAATGCACTTGTTGGATGGGAATCTCACGGATCCAGAAATGACATCAACGACGACATTAAAGATCAATTCTACGAGCGGCTGCAGTCAGTCATAGAGAGAACCCCAAGAAAGGACATCACCATTCTAATGGGAGATCCGAACGCCAAAGTCGTAATAGACAACACCGGATATGATGATATTATGGGACGATATGGACTGGGGTAGAGAAAAGAAAATGGGGCGAGATTCGCAAATTTATGTGCATTCAACAAATTGGTCATAGGCGGCACAATATTCCCATACACAGAGCTACATGGATCTCACCGGACCACAACACAGAGAACCAAATAGATCATATTTGCACCAATAAAAAATTCCGAAGGACAAAGGAAGATGTGAGGACCAGGAGAGGAGCTGACATAGCTTCAGATCATCACCTGGTGGTGGCCAAGATGAAACTGAAGCTAAAGAACAACTGGACAACTGGACAAACAGCACTACCAAGGTTCAATACAGCCTTCCTTCGGGACCCTGACAAACTCAATGAATTCAAGATAGCTCTCAACAACAGATTCCAAACCTTACAAGATCAACTGAAGGAAGAAGAAACTGCTATAGATGACAACTGGAAAGGCATCAAGGAAGCATTAGTTTCAACTTGTCAATAGGTTCTGGGCCTAAAAAACACCATCATAAGGAATGAATCTCCATAAAAACACTGGACAAGATCAAAGAAAGAAAGAACAAGAAGACGACAAATATCAACAGCCGAATACGAGCAGAGAAAGTCCAAGCACAAGCTGAATACATAGAAGCAAACAAGCAAGTGAAGAGGAGCCGACAGGAAGAAATACGCGGGAGAACTCAACAACAACGGAACAGATGAGTAGAATACGTCAAGGAACTCCTGAATGTGCCGGCTCCAATGAATCCACCGAACATCGTAGCAGCACACACAGATCTTTCCATAGAGGTCAGCCCACCAACGACGGAAGAAATCAGAATGGTCATCAGACAAATCAAGAACGGGAAAGCAGCAGGACCCGACAACATACCAGCTGAAGCACTGAAGTCAGACGTCCAAGTAACTACAAACATGCTTTACTTTCTATTCCGAAATATTTGGGTGGAGGGACAAGTGCCGATGGACTGGAAAGAAGGACACCTCGTCAATATTCCAAAGAAAAGAGATCTGAGCAAATGTGAAAACTTCAGAGGCACTACACTATTGTCAATACCAGGGAAAGTCTTTAACAGAGTGTTGCTGAACCGGATGAAGGATGCAGTAGACGCCCAACTCCGAGATCAACAAGCTGGATTCCGTAAGGTTCGGTCATGCACAGACCAAATTGCAACACAACGGATCATCGTCGAACAATCATTTGAGTGGAACTCGTTACTATACATCAACTTCATTGACTACGAAAAGGCGTTTGACAGTGTAGATAGGAGGACGTTATGGAAACTTCTTCCTGAGATTGTCAACACTATCGGATTTCATACGACGGACTACAGTGCAAGATGGTGCATAGAGAACAGCTGACACATGGATTCCAATTAAGAACCGGAGTCAGACAAGGCTGTCTACCCTCCACCTTCCTTTTTTCATTTCTGGTGGTCGACTGGATTATGAAGACCTCGACATCTGAGGGGAAACACGGCATACAATGGACAGCTCAGGACCGATTAGATGATTTGGATTTCTCAAATGACCTAGCCTTCACATCGCATACAACGAACAAATGCAGGTGAAGAAAACTGATGTAGCAGCAGTCTCTGCATCAGTGGGCCTCAGCATAAACCAAGGTCCTCAAATACAGCACGGAGAACAGCAATCCAATCACACTTGATGGAGAAACTCTGGAAGATATAGAATCCTGCACATAGCTAGGAAGCACCATCGATGTGTGAGGAGGTTCAGATGCAGACGTAAAGGCGAGGATTGGCAAAGCAAGGACAGCATCCCTACAATTGAAGAACATATGGAACTCAAAAAGCTTTCAACCAATATCAAAGTGAGGATCTTCAATACCAACGTCAAGGCAGTCCTACTGGACGGGGCTGAAACTTGGAGAACTACAACAGCCGTCATCAAAATAGTACAAGCAAATATAAATGGTTGTCTACACAAGATACTCAACATCCAATTGCCAGATACCATCAGCAACAGGTTTCTGTGACCCTTAAGTGATGCGGAAAAGAGGAAGGTCAAGCCACACATTACGTCGGATGACAGAAGCAGATATGGAAAGGATGAATATGAAATGGAAGGAGCTGGAAAGGATTGCCCAGGACAGGGTTGGATGAAGAATGCTGGTGAGCGGCCTATGCTCCTTCGCGAGGGGTAAAAAGCGTAAGTAAGTAAGTAAGTAAGTAAGTAACAGACTATTAGCCATTTATGTCAAAGTAGAATGTTCCTGTTCACACGACTAACCGGTTACAACAATGTACAACAACATCTCCGCCTCACGACTTCATGGTCTAGTATTAGTCTCTTACAGCTTTTGAGAAAGTTGACAAGACATGAAAATTAAAAGGTTCCTATGTAATGACTTTGCTTCACTAATCGTTCACCTAAATCACTGTTATAATATAAATCTTAAGGGTGTTTGAAATCGAAAGGCAAAGGGAAATGGCATCTACAGTTTATTGGAAAATATCCACGACCACAAATTTATAAGCACACCAAACACGTTCGGCGATGAGGCGAATAAGTATGTGTGAGTAATTACATAGGCGCATTTATAGTCAAAATGTATAAGGGCGAAGCAGTGTAAAACAAATCCAAATATAGGATTTGAGTGCACATATACATGAAGAGGAGGATGAGTCATCGAGTGCTTTTAAAGCAATCAACATTTCGACTAGTCTATAATGTGATCTAGTTATCAAAACGGTAGTATTCATGTAACATCGTCTGTTAGAGAGATAATACCAGGGCTTGACCGAAATTAACCAAAATCGAAACTCGTTAAAGGATAGTTGCTACACTAAGACAAAAACACCAGAAGAAACTGTAGTGGCAAATATAAAAGCTGAGAAATAGGTTGATCGTGAATCGCATGACGCAAGCGATTGCGTACGGGTTACCCTCAACGCTATCAAGGAAACCGGTGAAACCGACAAGACGTTGAGTAGAGTTAAGTGCTATCTTTCATCCAACTTGCCGAACAATCGTATTGAAAGGAAACGTTTTCAATACCTTCGTCGATGTGACTCATTAATGGCTGTCGACTCATGTATTGTGTTTGGTGATCGAATTTTTATTCCAGAAGTATAACGCCATAAGGTTGTTAAATAATTTCACAGTGGTCGGCCTAGAAGCAACAAGATAGGACCATTGGCTCGTAGTTATGTTTAATAACTCTCAATGGACAAAAGACACTGAAAGCAAATGCTGTAACTGTCCATCTTGTCTTCAAGCTGCTTTGAACCCTTTGAATTGCAAACCACAGCACTGCCCGATGCCTTCTGGACCCCGGGAGAGTCTTCATGAAGATTTCACAGGTCCAATTCACGATAAGATGTTCTTAATTATTGTGGATTTATTTACGAAGTGGTCATAAGTATATAATTTCCACAACTGCAAAGCCTCAGAAACAATCCACAAATTGTCTACTTAGTTTAGATGTTTTGAATTCCTCGAAACATTAGTGATTGGTAATGGCTCACCATTCGTTGCACATTCACTTCAGTATGGATGGATTAACGCACCTACGTTCCCCGCCCTGTCATCTCCAATCGAATGGACCAGCAGAACGTTTTGTTAACATTCTTAAACGAGCATTATTGAAAGGGTGAGACGAGGGAACAACTTTACAGGTAACCGTGAATTTTTAACTGCTTACGGAACTACTCCGAACGTTTGATTCTTACCCAACAGTACGTTTTGGGTGTGAGATTAGTATCCCCTCCAGACAATTAATGAAGAATTGTGCAAAATCAACTGATGTTAAACCTTAACACCGTTGGATGCCGGTCCAGCGACCTAGAGGTCGGGTGATTGCAAGCGATACCGAAATTCCTGCATT